ATACATGTGGTGAAGAAGCGCGGCTAGGGGTCTGACCACCTTATTGTTCCGCATAAAGAACACGGTCTGATCGGCAGCGGACATCTGTATAAAGTTTGGATTTGATTGAGAAGCTAAATTCAATAAATAGGTAGGAATATAAACCTTAAGGATATTACGAGGTCGATGCACTCCGTAACGAACGAATAATTGTTATTAATACACCAGGCATTAGGCAGATTTAGATTATAGCCTTGATCAGTATTAGGTAAGTAACACTTAAATTCACTTAATTCACTTGTACATTAACTGTTGATATGCCAAATGATAGATAAAGCCGCACATTACATAGCATGAGATAGAATACATAGTGGTAAATACCCGCGGGTAATCTCACGTAAATACCTTCTCATGCGAATATTGGCCATGCGACGTCCCTCATTTTGGTTAAGCATTTACGGCATTGAAATTATACAGTATGTTAAATACATTTGTATGTAAATACATAAGTGACGCTAGAATGCCGTAAATGTAAATGTTAACAGTTCCTGTATGAAATGTCTTTGCTAGAATAACATAAAATACCTCCCAGTCGTTTACTATACACAATCCGGTTTTTGTAATTGTATTACCATATTTATCAAAACATTCATGTCACAAGCAATACACGTTCTACAACACTGTCATCTGAACAATGGTGTATTATTGAATGTACTGTTTACGAAACATATGAGTGAGTTGGGTTAAACGCCGCTTTTAACAGTATTCCAGTTATATCACGGCGTGTCAGCTTAATGTGGGAAGAAAGTATGGGCGGCCATTCGGTCAAAAAATACAAAGTTGAAAAAAAGGACAAAAGTACGTAATTAAGGTCAAATATTACGAATAAAGAACTAAATGTTACTACTTAAGGTCAAAATACAATATTAATAGTCAAATGTTACGAAAAGGCGTCATAAGAAAAGAAAGAACAATGTGTACGAAAGAACGTCAGTGAGCACGAAAGGAAGTTTTCAATAAAAGAACGTCAGATGGCGCTGCAATTTGTAAAACATTCCGAGTTTTATCGGCTTGTTCCGCCGTGTATAGTATATGATAACTGCATGCCGAGGTGCACAATGTATTACGTCATTCCTCGTGCACGCAACAGAGCCTGACCACCCGGCCTGTCCTCATTTCGGTGTCGTGCCGGGTTAGCGAAAAAATTTCCCTAGTATCAGTAAAGCGAAAACTCTAGTTGGGGTATTTGTCCAACGAAAGCGAGAAATGAGTAATGGCTATAAAAACACCGATTTACCGTAGTTTAGATAAGCGCCCGTGCTGTTACAAACAGAGGAGAGGAGATTTACTAGAGAGGAGATTTCGTAAAAAAATAATACAGTTGGAGAGGAGAAGAGATGATCAGTTTCTTAATTGAACAAACAATTAGTTTCTTAGTTGATATGGGTTATGATACCGATGGGTTAAGAGGAGAGTCGTTTCTTAAGAATACATGCAGTATGTATTTGATGGTATATATAAAGATTGCAACTTATTTATCTAACCCGTGTGCGAAATACGCATCATTTCGCCTACACCTCATTTCGCCTACACCCTTATCAAAACAAATTTACAGCTGACTGCACATAAGTCAAGTGCTGTGTTACCTCTAAGATAATGAACTGACATCAAAGAAGGTTAAACAGACAAGACAATCCTGAAGCTTCATACATTGTTTAATAGCTGATATTTACATTATGCAGTAATAATAATAATGACTCATGATTACTGTAGCTTTAGTACATATACAACGGCATCAAGAAAATGCATTACAGTTAAACAGACAAGACAGTCTTGAAGCTTCATACATTGTTTAATAGCTGATATTTACATTATGCAGTAATAATAATAATGACTCATGATTACTGTAGCTTTAGTACATATCCAACGGCATCAAGAAATTGCATTACAGTTAAACAGACAAGACAATCTTGAAGCTTCATACATTGTTTAATAGCTGATATTTACATTATGCAGAAATAATAATAATGACTCATGATTACTGTAGCTTTAGTACATATACAACGGCATCAAGAAATTGCATTACAGTTTTTCTTCCACCAAGAAGCTGTGTCTTTAGTCTTTCAATTCTTTCGTCCCTTTGTCTGTCAACACGAGCTCGGGGTCTGCATGATCCTCCAGATCAATTTGTTTCCTGGAGCGTCTGTCTGCCTTTTCAATCTTCTTGATCTCCTCCAAGAACTGATAGATGTTAGGGTGAGATCGGGGCATTCTCTTTTTCAGTCCACAGTGGAACCCTTCCAGATGGTTGTTGGATCGGGGACCGGTGTTGTCGTGCTGGTTCCAAATATGGGAGAGGAATCTAGCGTCATCATCTACCCATGTTCTGGTGACATAGTCGTTAAAATCACCAATCTGTTGATCATCAGGTCCTTGCTCCATCACCTCAACCCATGCATTCTGTACCTGGTCAAGTGGGAGAAGTGGCAGGGCTGCGGCACGTCGAACATGGGACTGAATTGCTGGATTGTTCGTGTATTCTCGTACAAGACCTCTCTCAACTACCTGACGCCACAAAGCTTGTGAATAGTGAAACAGACAACCCCTCACATAACTATCAGGAAAAACCTCTGCAATGGCACTTATGACTGCTGACTCGTAATCAGTCTGAAACACCTCTGGAGAAAGTTCAGTACCAGTTCTGGTTCCTACTGTGTCCTTCAACAACCTAAATAGTCTAACATATGTCTGTTTGGTCTTGTTAGGAAGCAACGAAAAAGCAACAGGATACATTTTACCATTTACAAGACAATGAATAATATACACTTGGAGCCAAAAGCTAGGACAAACAAAAAAAGTACCATCCATAAACAAACTGTCAGAGTCACTCATGATTTCTAACATCTCAGTGGTAGCAAACACCAGTAGTCTGTCGTCTTCCCCGTCATTGATGCACAGAAAGTCTCTTCCATCTTCTGTCTGTGTCCAAGTTGACTGCTGCTCTGGTTTCTGGAACTTGTGGAATAGTCTTGGCTCTGTTTCTGTACAGGGAAGCTTGAACACTTGCAAAAGAAGGGGCAGTCGCAGCTACTTCTTCATCAAGTTGATCCAGTTCTGCGTTGTATATCTGCTGTACAGCAGAAATGTCGATCTGGACACGCTGCTTAAGTCGACCAATGAGTCTGATGTGTTCTTCATTATCTACAGGGGGGTGGCTGTGAGGAGTTGTAGACACGACGTGTTCTGCAATAGTGCTGCATCTACCATTGCAACCTGTGTGGACACACTTCCAGTGAACAGCAACTTGACGCTTGACATTCAGTCTGTATCTATAGCCTGCATAAAGTACTTGCTGGCCACGTCTTTGTGATGTTACAAACTCCGCTCTCTGAAGATTTGCCATTTTGATGCTGACCTGTAAGCTTACTTACTTTGGAGATTTAACGTGCGCTTTCCGACTGATGCGTAATTCGCACACGGGCCCGGCCAGGTCATTTAATGTGTTTCCGAAAGGGGCGAAAGTGGTGTGTGCAACCCAAGAGGGGGCTTTAGGGGTTGCTTTTATAGAATTTGGGAATTTTGAGATTTGGAATAGATGCCGATGGGGTTGGGGAGGAGAACTAAGGGAGCTGGGTATGGTGGATGTTTGTTTGTTTATGTAATTTTGATTTGGTAGATTATAGTGTTTTTAGATGCGTTTTATTAGTTCCGTTTTGATTCAGAATACGCCTAAGGCCTTGAAGTTTTCTAGTTTATTTTTTGGGGTTTAGTATTGCTTCTAGAGTGAGAGCCTTGTTTAGATTGAGGGTGGTTTGTAATGCGGTTCGATGTGTTAGGTAGTGTGTGCAGTGGATGAGTGCGTGTTCTGGGGTTTCTAGTTGTTTGCAGTGTGGGCAGTGGTTATTTAGGTTGGTGTGTCCTGTTTGGAGTTTAGTGATTACTCTGTCGATTTTTTTTGATGGATGGAGAATTTTTGGTTTGGTTAGTGGTTTGCTGAGTACTTTTTTGATTTGGCTATTTGAGTTTAGAAATAGGTTATGCCAATTTTTTGGTGATTTTTTGCTTGTTTACGCTTTTAATTTCTGATTTTGAGATGGGTAAGTTTAAGCTTATTTCTGGGAATTTGAGGGATAGTTTAGCTGCCTTATCGGCGTTTTCATTACCGTATATTCCTACGTGGGCGGGTATCCACAAGAAGGTTATTTGTTTGCCTGCCTTAGTTAGGTCGTTGGAGCTTTTAAGTATTTGATTTATTAATTTAGGTCGGTTTTTGGTATTTTTGTTTTGGAGGGCTTGTAGTCAACTTAGGGAGTCGGTAAGTATTAGGATTTTTTCGGGGGGGGTTTGGATTCTTGATTATGGAGGGCTGAGGCCATGCCCATTAGTTCTGCCGTGAATATTGATTGGTTGTTGACCTGTAAGCTGATAGGTCAGGTACATATATACCAATGCAATATTAACAACAATAACAGTTCAACATTTGAGCAGACATCTAATTTCCTTTAATTAAACCAATACTAAGAACTAACCAATTTGTAACAATTACAAACAATGTGAGAAGCGATGATAGGCTTCTTTACACCTTAATTATTAAATAAGATTTATTTACTAAACAAGATTTACTTGCACATTCAAAACAACTAAGGATTAACAGAATGACCATGTCAAACAAGAGTTGTGAGAAGTTGTCATAGGTTGTAAACACTTTACTTTGAACCTCTATGCCGCTTGGATTAGATTAGAGCTTGGATTAGTTAACAGCCTGAGATGGACAATGCCCATTCATATAATAGGGGTGAGGCAATTAAGCATTTGAATTATTGTAGGCGAAATGAGGGCAAGCCGACCACCCGATCCCGTTAGTCGCCCCTCAAGCAGAGTCTCCTCTTCTTCTGGCTCGATATAGTTTATCTGTATCCGTCTATTGAAAAGTTCCGTTGTGTAAACAGTCCAGAGGTGTGGCCCGGAAGGGCAACACGCGATACCTAGGCGGTTTATCTCCCTTAGACTGTCTGTTAAGTAGGTCATGTGGCAACTGTTGACTGTTGATGCATGACTCATTTCGTTGGATGTATATTGGAGAGGATAACTTGGACCTGGGTAAGTAAACCATTTACTTCAAATCCTTACCACTTCCCATGATTGTAATGATCAATATTAGTTGTAGTAGTAGTAACTGAAGTTGTGTATCGACGTGCACGAGAATGATCTCCAAGCCATAAGGATTTCTTTAAGCTGACGGGATTTTAAAGAGAATTCATTGGCAAAGGATATATAATGCCGTGTTGTGGGTTTCGCATGTTATTCTATACGTTGTAATTATCATCCCTGTGGGGTGGTCCATGATATAGACTAACATCTAGTCTCTGAAATGAACATATTGTACAGATTATTGTGTAAATTATCATAATAAACATATAATGAAAAAGAGCCCAGCGACTCTCTTCATTTTCAGCCTGATACTGCAGCAATCTAGACTTGCCAAACATTATAGACTTGCATGGGCTGTATTTGACATGTTTGTATCGGGGTTTGTAAGACGGACAATATATATAATGATCAAGTGCACGGAAAGTTTGTGACCTGATTTAAATGTGCCGACGCCCATCCCTGCCGTTTGTTTGCATTCTATGAAGCATGTATGCGCTTGAAAATACAACTACATCTCTACCCTCTCGTTTCTTGGGGGAAATAACTAGAACGATAAGGCAATGTGTACACGCACCCGAGGATTGGCGTCACAATCACAGGACGGACACCCAGGTAAAACAAATTTTGTTTCAAGTGATCTATTTCTTATACTAACTGGGTAGGTCAAAGGTAAAACGTGACCTCTCTTGGTCACACCCACTCTCGGTGAAGAAGGAACAAATAAGCGTTTCTAAAGGCTGTCATAAAGTTTCTGAACGTGTATTTTCTAGGAAGATACGGAACCGAGACCAGGCGGTGACTATAGCAGGCAATCTGACACGCAAAATGGCACACGGGGTGCCAGAAGCAATTTGAGTTGTGAAATATGAAAACACACGACAGTCAATACCTGAGAAAGTGAGTGAGTGAGTATGGTTTTACGCCGCTTTTAGCAATATTCCAGCAACATCACGGCGGGGGACACCAGAAATGGGCTTCACACATTGTACCCATGTCGGGAATCGAACCCGGGTCTTCGGCGTGACGAGCGAACGCTTTAACCAGGCTACCCGACCGCCCCTTATACCCGAGAAAGATAAGACGCGACATCGGTAATGATTTTTTAACTAGCTGGACGAACGCAACAGACACAGCGACGAGAGTTATATGGTTATATAGACGTTGTAACACTCTGAACAAGCCAGTAAAACAGTCTGGTGAAGTAAATCTATCATACACATAGCTATAAATTCATTAGCTTTATTTCCTCCAGCGGTTTACAACTTACGAAAGGCAAAAAAATCAACAAGCGTTAAAAGTTAATATTCTCCCATTAGATACACACGAGTTCACTCAGTCAAAGTCTTCCTTATTCCCCGCACTTGTGATTATTAATATGTATGTCATATAGAAAACAGAACCAATCGTAACCGTCAGTACTCCTATATTTGTTTGTTTGTTGTTTAACGCCGCACTCAGCAATATTCCAGCTATATGACGGCGGTTTGTAAATAATTAATTCTGGGCCAGACAATCCAGTGATTGACATCATGACCATTGACCAATTGGGATACGAGGACATGCATCAACCAAGTCAACCAGCCTGACCACCCGATCCGGTTAGTAGGGCTGCAACGATACACCTAGGTCACAATACGATACGTACCTCGATACTTACATCACGATTCGATACGTATCTCGATACGCTACGATACACATAGTGACAAGAGAAGACAAGAGATGAATGAATTAAACATAGTTTATTAAAAATTAAAAATTAAATGAAAGTGAATGAATGTTCATGAGTCATAAAATATATACTGTAATGAGTATTTTAACTTAATGAATCATCTGCTATTTCCATGTAATGGCTAGCAAACACAAAAGTTACAGTCCTACATATTTGTGAGTTGTGACTAGATGGTAGGAGTAAATACTAAAAGTACCAGTGTCCAGTAACTAATGATTTGCCATTTTCATGTATAAAGGCAAAAAAACAATTAAAAACAATTAGATCTATAGCAACAACCATGTTATACACCATTTGAAAGGTCTAATCCTAGTGTTTATAAATATGAAAGTTATGTTTATCACATTATTTAAATAATGCATTGAAAACTTAATTAAGTTCGTTGTAAATAAAAAAATTGTAAGCTAACACATTCATAACGTCCAGATTAAGGACCAAGGAAGCGACAATTTGACGATTTGGGGCAAATATAAGTTTCAAAAGATCTAAAGATTTTCATTGTTTACGTAATTGGAAAATTATTTTAAAAAGAATTATGAATAGTATCTGTTTTCACTCATTTCCAGATAACAGCGGCTGTCCGCTTAGTAACATGAAGAAATACCTCCGTTTTCGAAAGTTTCGTATGAATAACACGTTCGTCGGTGGCTGACATATCACACCTCGCTAGAAAGCTTGTTTTTTCATCTACACGCTCGTAACATTGCCTGGAGTCTTATCGTAGCTATAACATAAGATTTCATTGGATAAAAAATGGTTTCTAATGACGCTTTCTTGCCGAAATCTGCTACATGGTTCATGATTGGTCAAATTTGAGCACGTGACCTGAAGCAGGCAATCAAATTACAAATCCTGGTCAATTTCACATTTTTACCATGCCATGACAGATTAACATTACCAATATGAAAGAATCGGATGATCCTTAACTTCTTTTGAGTAGTATAATACGGATATTTTTAATAATTTTGTTTTTGTATTTATCATATATACATGTATAGCTGGTTGTCTGCCTGCCTGCCTTTCTGTTAAGAGTGACCCGTTGCCGTTGGCCCCATTTGTATTGATATTTACAACTGGTAGGTCTCGCTGTGGGAGTGAACCCATCAGATATCCTCATCTCAAACCATCTTTACGGATGATTGTACAGTGTTGTATTCGATGATATTTCTACTTTGAAAAACCGTTTCACGCTTAGCCAGTTTCCGTCATGCTCTGACGGACTCAGAGGTGGACATTTGTTCACACCAGAAAACATAACGGTTCAGTGGACTAATGTCTGGTCCACTTGTTACCTTCAAGTATATATCATTCACTGACCCCCCGAGTGTTTTACCCAAAGCTGGAATCCATTATTTCCCCAAATTGGTACATGGATGGTTGGTTGGTTGTATTATCTACGAGGTCGCTGTGACCTTTTCGTCTGTGGTTTATATGTAAGTGTAAGTTTGCAGTCGGGGTTAATGGATTTGGGCATGTCGACAAGGCGTCAGTGCATTTGCTGACGGGGTTAACCTGTTTGGAAATTTGGACATCGGAAGGTCCCTGGTTCGTATTGCACCGAGAGACTGGGATATTTTGTGTCATTATGTACTCTCTTTCGATTCAGATATTTAATTTCCCACTTACATTTTTTGGTTTGCTAACCATGGATGTATAACCTCAAATATACTCACGTAAATGAAGACAGGATTGACTTATAAATGGATTGATTCTTTCAATAGTGAGTGAGTAATTTGGCTTAACGCCGCTTTTAACAGTTTTCGAGTTATATATATCACGGCGTGTCAGCTTAATGTGGGAGGAAAGCCGTATAACCGTAGTTTTTATTTTACTTGTATATTATGATTGATAAACAAAGCCTTTTGTATTGTATCATCGATGTTTTTTAGATGTATCATCGATGTGGGTTCGAAGTAGTGTCGACATAGTGTTGATGTAGTGTCAGTGTAGTGTCCATGTTATTCTTTGAAACTGCCACACCCAATGTACTTATCACATTGCAAAGTTCGAAGTAAGAACAAAATACTCATAACAAGCATAAATCAAAATGTGATTATTTAACTCGGGATTCCATTGTCATAGCTTCCTCGAATCGGCAAGGTGAGGTGAGGTGAAATTGGGTTTAACTTCGCGTCCATGATTGTTGCACTTATATAGCGACGTGCATGTGCTTGTACTAGTCCGGACTGATGCCGATTTATAGTGCTAGCACACTGAGATACCATGCCGAACTTTAACATGAATACCCCACTCAGACAGGGTAACATCAAGTACCATCTTCTAACGTCTTTTGGTTGACGCGGCCGGGGATCGAACCCCGAACCTTTCTCTCCGGGCGGACGTTCTACCACTAGACCACGGAGGCGGTCCTCCCTCTCAATAAGGAAGCAGATTTCGTTGTTTCGCTTGTTCTGCACAAACAGAACTCAAAAGCATCCCCATGGTACCATCTGCACAGGCCACTGATCTTACTTCTTTCTTGGGGTCTGCTTCACAAGACACTACAGCTGTCTACCTCACTAATTGCATCAATTATCGAACATTATCAGAGCTCAAGATAAGCTTTTGGTGTTGTGGGTATTTTACCCATGCATTTTAAAATCATTGGGTATCAGTAATTCTATCTTCGTATTCAAATTTCTGTTATCCACTAGTTTTTACACATGTGGGAATTTAAGTTAAATATTTAAAAACACTATTCATCTAGTCCCTGCAAACTGGTGTCGTGTGGGTTCGAGAGCTTTATAGGACTCAAAAATACCACGATACTTCCACAAGAAAGTGTGATGGCAAATGATCATGATGTAACTGTCATCGTGGAGTTGCTGATTTGCTAATCGAATACGCAGGGTTACTTCACAATATTTTGATGATACGCACAAGTTTTATTTTTGTAGCGTATCTGTAATGTTCGTTGCGTATTTGATACGCTTGGATTATATTTTACTGTGTATTTCTGCATTTCTGATGCGTATTTCACGCAGATACGCAGCTTATCTGGAGCTCTGATTATCTTCGTCTACAGTGGCATGGGAGTTAACTGACTTTAAAAGGCCAGTTTCCACTTTTAAAGTCAGTTAACTCCCTTGCCTCGGGAAGATGGTAAGTGACGTGGCAACCCAAGACTCGTCCCCACATCGCTTGACTCCCATTCTTTGTCAGTAACCGTATACTTATCGTGATGTCACCATCATCTACGTAGTGAGTGAGTTAAGCGTTAAGCTTACTTACCTACTTATACTTGGAGATTTTACGTGCGCTTTCCGACTGAAGCGTATTTCGCACACGGAAGCGTTAAGCGGTTTAACGCCGCTCTTAACAGTATTCCAGTTGTATCATGGCGTGTCAGCTTAATGTGGGAGGAAAGCCCCAAGTGATGCAGGTCTTAGACGTTTACCACTTCGGTGAAACCCACGAGCACGGGTATGGTGCTGACAAACCTAGAAACAAAATCGGGGCGAACCGGGATTCGTACCCACTATCATAGGTTTCTGTCGTGCCCAAGGGACGCAACTCTGCACAGCGAATCGCGGCGCCTCAGACGACTGGGCCACCCGTGGCGCCATGATATACGACACCGTGCGTACCTATGCGTATCTCGATCATTCGACTATGACTTTGATGGTAGCCATTTTGTCCTTCAGCATGTTTTTTGTCACGTGTTCATACAATGGATCGGAAAATCTAGTATAAACTTAACTGTTTTAAGACTGCCATGCTTAAAACCTTTCTGATCGTAGAAAAGAACACTAAGCTGGTTGTCTTGGTTACTGCAACAAGCTTCGACTGGAAACGTCGACCCTTTGCTGTCCGACCTCGTGTTTCATCGTACCTGAACGACCATCAACCAACTGTAATGCACGTGTAATAAAAAGATCACTATCTAGATATTACGTGCAGTCGAAGAACCGATTCCACTTTTCCGCGAAGTATTAAGAAGCAGAGAGGTAATTATTTTGGATAAATACATGCTTAATACGCGTGTAGCCACTTACAAGGTTGTAAAATTAATAATATCTAGTGTAAATTTAATGAGAATTTTTGTACTGCGTGTCCTTATAAAATAATAATAATGTCTTTTTGCGTTTCAACTGATGTATTAAACCAGCTGGTATAAAGTCGGGTAACTATATCGTAAATAATGAACTCACTTCTCTCTTACGTACTGGTACTTTACAATAGAAGCTGAAGATCAACCACTTTTTCTGACGAGTGTTCTTTAGCATCTTCTGAGTGGTATGTTCTTATATGGAGTGGGCTGGATTATTAAGCAATTTTGGTCTACACACAAGATAGGATTTGAACCAACAGGCATTCCTTCCATATACTGACTCAAAATCCAGAATATCTCTACCAACCTCGTCGTGTTATTAATGTATGTTTAATTCTTAATTAAATTTTATTTTCTTCCAAGGACATGTTAGCCACGAAGAGGAAACGGTTGTGGATGGCACTGGTGGCTTTGTGTATGACTTCAATATTGACAACGTTCCAACTGAGCTACAGAAAGTCCCCTCCAAACAACATCCTGGAAATGCCCACCTTGAGCCGGCACCTCAGAGGATACAGCAATTCTGGGTAAATATATTCACCAGATTTTAAAGCGCGTGTAGAATGTGCAGCCAATGGCTCGAGTTTTGAATGTCTTCCATGTTCGTACTGAGACCGCCTCCATGGTGTAGTGGACAGTGGCCTTGTGGATTCTGGCCGGAGAGCCGAAGGTCAGTGGCCCCAGATCACGTCATACCAAAAGACGTTAAAAGATGGTGCTTGTTGTTACCCTGGCTAGCGCTCGGCTTTAAAGGGATAAAACATGGACTGGTCGGCTCGGAGCCAATATAGGGTATCCATGTTAAACTTAATATCTCAATGACGTTAACCCTGGTTAAATTCAAAATATGTATCTCCTAATAACCAGAAATGCAATGGGGTTTTTTCTCTCTATTTGCTGCAGCGGTCACACAACGAACCGATGGATCGTGCTGGCCCTCGACTCTGTGTATCAGACAGACGTGTCGTACCTTGATGACGTCACAGGTTGGAACATCGTCATATCAGGTTACCTGCCAAACCTGAACGGCTGCAGGTATGCAACCTTAATCAAAACCAGGCGTCAAATAACTGTCTATTGTCACTACAGATAATTAGATTTTGGCTGTGAATGGCATTTAGTTGTGGTACACACAATGAAGAGAATTAATGGATGTCAACCTCCCTTTTGATAAAGAAGTCGACATCCATAAATTCTCTTCCTTAATATTTAGATTGTATCTTGATAGCCAAGCTACTTTGTTTTCAACTGGAAGTTTTGCTTGTCTATTTGTTGTCTAACGCCACACTCAGCAATATTTCTGTTATATGACGGCGGTCTGTAAATAATCGAATTTGAACCAGACAATCCAGTGATTGACATCATGAGCATCGATCCACTTAACTTAGATACGATGACATCCATCAACCAAGTCAGCGAGCTAGACCTACCGATTCCGTTAGTCGCTTCTTACACATCTGGAAGTGATATTCTGGTCAGGTTCTTATATGAAATTAATTACCGAGTGTGGTTTTAGGTGGCGTTTCGCAATATTGCAGCAATATCACGTCAGGGAACGCCAGAAATGGGTTCCACACTTTGTACCATGTCAGGAATCAAACCCTAGCCGACTGCGTGACGGGCGAACGTTTTAACCGCTAGGCTACCCCACCGCCCCTTGATCGTGGACTGTATGATGTACTGTTCGTGATTTTAACAGACATATTCAGACAAATATATAATTAGAAAGAGTGCGATTTCTTTAACTTTAAGTTGGCATTTTATAATTTTGGCCCACATCTTGTTTGAAAGGATGAATTCCTGTGGGGGGTTTCAGCCTCACCACAAAGGTGTATTGGGGCAGCAGTTTCGACACACATAGGAATAATCAACTACAGGTTAAATTTGATACAATTAAGTGGCTCGTTATCATTCTAAAACACATTTTTCCCCTCAAGAAGGGAACTCTTTATAGTAAAGAATATTTCGACAGTTGGGTTCAACATATACTGAAATATGCTAAGCTTGCAACTCTGTAACATTAGTTTTCAGATTATCATTTCCTGGTTTCCATTGCAGGAAACCAAAGTGCATCTATATTCATCCCGGAAATATCCAGACTCTACCGTTCACCTCAGTTAAGCATGTGGGAGAAAAAGGCTACCCTCTGAAGAATATAGCCTACCTCTATGCCATGTCACAATCAGCGGAGGTTATCTACGATTTGGAATATGGTGTCAAACCCATCCTTCCAATGAACAACTTCATCTACATTGACCACACTCATGGCCTCATCTACACCGGCAACACCACATTCAACCACTACAGACATTTTGGTCAACCGTATTTGCATCCCTTGGGATTCCCGGAATCTGTTAACGCGACACAATCTAAACTGTTTGACCTGTGTTATGTCCCTACACCTCCAATACAACACGGCATCATTAGTGGTGAAACGCCTCTTTATCATGACCAGAGAGAAAAAATATTAAAAATCAGCAGAGAAAAGACACTGGATCTTCAGTTTGATACAATGGCACCTCCGGCATTTGTTCCTCCGGGTAGATTCTCTGCAGTCACAACCGGAAACACACTTTTTACTCGTAAAGCATTCTGGTTAATGCTACTTCCGTTTTCTGGAGATTCAGTGTTGGATGGTGTGGTACGAGGCTATTTGTCTCAGAGGTTTCTGTGGGAAACTGGTGATTATACTGGCCATATGGGCGACACGGCGAGAAGTGAGAGCTATATTAACTTACAAAATACAGATATATCAGTATCGAATAAAATCAAGATGTTGTTAGACGAATTAAAAAAGTGGAATTGTGATCCCAATCAACCTTTACCAGGATGTTTCGGAGATCTGTACAGACATATCGTTGAAAAAAAAATCTTATCTGAAGCCAATTTTGAAATAATGGAATCGTGGATACAGGATTTAGATAGAATAAATGTCCTTCCCGACTCGCAAAGAATAGATTTTAAGAAAGTTAAATATTCTGAAGGTCAGAACTGTACTAAGATGCACTTTGCACCAAGTCAACACAATCATAAGATATATAACCTGACGTCAATGTCCGTGGTTGTACAGCTACCCTGGGATAACAAGCCCATCTGTCCTGAAGTGGATGAAGTCAAAGAAGCGCTGAGAAGTAGAGCTCCCGCGAAGTACTTGTTCACAGATGTGCTGCTTATTGTGGTGATAAACTACCCACAACTTTACAAAACCACCAGGACAGTGGAGATCCTCTATAGGAGATACTTCCCCAATTTACTCTTCTGTGGTCCGAGTATGGAATCGTTCCACAAGGACAGCAATAGTGAGTTGTCCCATGTGGAAGGCTTAACTGAAGGATGGCATTACATGTATGGCTGTATTGCATATGCCATGAAGATGAACTACCGAGCGAAAGGCTATCTTCATATTGGCGATGACACGCTTCTGCAAATTTGGAATCTTCATAAACTCCCGCGAGATCACGTGTGGTTTAATGATGAACTACGAACCCTAAACAGGACTGTGCTTGACTCCCCCTGGCGGTGGTGGATTGAACCAGAGGGGAGGAAGAACTGTGAACGCGTGTTGGACGAGCTTAAGGGCATATCTCAACAAGGGGGAGAGGGTGCAGAACTTGCTAACATATTCTACACCAATTATGTTAAGAACAGAGAATCATTGGATATGTTGTTCGGATCTGCATGTGACTTCTATTATGTACCCCAGAGACTGAGGGACATGTATGTGTTTCTGGTCTCACTTCTGAGGAAGCACAGGGTTATTGTAGGGGTTGGAATCCCCACAGTTCTACAGGGGATGGACAGGCGTGAAAACGTCGAGTACATTCCTGGAAAGTTGATCTTTGGAGAAGATAGGGGTAGAATGCAGGAGGTATTCAGATCGGACGACTACTTCTTTCACCCTGTGAAATTTGCACGTTGGTTAAAATCTGACAAAGGAAGAACATTTTTCTGTGAGAACCTCCAGCCTCTGTTTGAAGGAAGTGTTGGCTTCTCAACGAACAGAACTAATACCTACTTTTAATGCGCAAATCAATACCTCGACTGACTTCCCTGTGTACAGAATCAATCCACACTTGCAATATGCATGTTAAAACCTCGATTGCAGATGTCGGAGATTAACCTTGGTCGCCACTGCACATTATTGCTCTCTTCACTTTGTTCGTGATCTGGACAATGTATATGAGTATCAACAATGTAACCAAATTATTGATAGCTTGTGTCTCTTTATCTGGACTAACATATAGTGTATGAAATCTTTTATTACGCAATTCAATTTTCTCCACTATGTTTTCCTGATGCTGACATACAGAGTGGAATAGAGCTGCAAAACATTTTTTTAATAATCTTCTTGGTTTTGGTTTCATAAAGGTACTCCTGCACCATGACTGTGCAGGAATATCTTTTATCAGTCACCATCTAATATTCTGGTGAGGCCGGGTGTTTTGTTAGACACAGATAACGATTCCAGTCACTGGCTCAAGATGTATTTTCCTGAATAAATTGTCTGTGGTAAAATGCTTGTTATGATTGTTTCGGATTGTTTCATATTGTTCCTGTTATTCCATTAAAGCAGAAAATTGAAAAGATTCCAATGGCTTGTTGATCGATGCTGGCGATTTCACGTAGATAAATTAAACAGATGCTACACATCATCCATACTCCATATTCCACATTGTACAACGTCTACACAACACATCAACTACACAACACATTCCACACTGTACAACGTCCACACAACACATCATCCGCACTCCATACTCGACAATGTACAACTACACAACACATCAACTACACAACACACTATCCACACTCCATATTCCACACTGTACAACGTCTACACAACACACCATCCACACTTCATACTCCACACTGTACAGCGTCTACACAACACACCATCCAGACTGTACAACGTCTACACAACACACCATCCACGCTCCATACTTCACATTGTACAACGTCTACACTACACACCATCCACACTCCTTACTCCACACTGTACAGCGTCTACACTACACACCATCCACACTCCATACTCCACACTGTACAACGTCTACAAAACACACCATCCATACTGTACAACGTCTACACTACACACTATCCAAACTCCATACTCCACACTGTACAGCGTCTACACTACACACCATCCACACTCCATACTCCACACTTTACAACGTCTACACTACACACCATCCACACTCCATACTGTACAACGTCTACACTACACACCATCCACACTGTACAACGTCTACACTATCCACACTCCATACTCCATACTCCACACTTTACAACGTCTACACTACACACCATCCACACTGTACAACGTCTACACAAAACACCATCCACACTGTACAACGTTTACACTACACACCATCCACACTGTACAACGTCTACACTACACACCATCCACACTCCATACTCCACACTGTACAGCGTCTACACAACACACCATCCACACTGTACAACGTCTACACAACACACCATCCACACTCCATACTCCACACTGTACAACGTCTACAAAACACACCATCCATACTGTACAACGTCTACACTACACACTATCCACACTCCATACTCCACACTGTACAGCGTCTACACTACACACCATCCACACTCCATACTCCACACTTTACAACGTCTACACTACACACCATCCACACTCCATACTCCACACTGTACAACGTCTACACTACACACCATCCACACTGTACAACGTCTACACTATCCACACTCCATACTCCATACTCCACACTTTACAACGTCTACACTACACACCATCCACACTGTACAACGTCTACACAAAACACCATCCACACTGTACAACGTTTACACTACACACCATCCACACTGTACAACGTCTACACTACACACCATCCACACTCCATACTCCACACTGTACAGCGTCTACACAACACACCATCCACACTGTACAACGTCTACACAACACACCATCCACACTCCATACTCCACACTGTACAGCGTCTACACAACACACCATCCACACTGTACAGCGTCTACACAACACACCATCCACACTCCATACTACACACTTTACAGCGTCTACACTACACACCATCCACACTCCATACTCCACACTGTACAACGTCTACACTACACACCATCCACACTCCATACTCCACAATGTACAACGTCTACACAACACACCATCCACACTCCATACTCCACACTGTACAACGTCTACACAACACACTATCCACACTCCATACTCCACACTGTACAACGTCTACACTACACACCATCCACACTGTACAGCGTCTACACTACACACCATCCACACTTCATACTCCACACTGCACAGCGTCTACAAAACACACCATCCACACTCCATACTCCACACTGCACAGCGTCTACACAACACACCATCCACACTTCATACTCCACACTGTACAGCGTCTACAAAACACACCATCCACACTGTACAACGTCTACACAACACACCATCCACACTCCATACTTCACACTGGACAGCGTCTACACTACATACCATCCACACTGTACAGCGTCTACATAACACACCATCCACACTCCTTACTCCACACTGTACAGCGTCTACACAACACACCATCCACACTCCATACTCCACGCTGTATAGCGTCTACACTACACAACAACCCTCACTCCATACTCCACACTGTACAGCGTCTACACAACACACCATTCACACTCCATACTCCACACTGTACAGCGTCTACACAACACACCATCCACACTTCATACTCCACGCTGTACAACGTCTACACAACACACCATCCACACTCCATACTTCACACTGTACAGCGTCTACACTACACACCATCCACACTGTACAGCGTCTACACTACACACCATCCACACTCCTTACTCGACACTGTACAGCGTCTACACAACACACTATCCACACTCCATACTCCACGCTGTACAACGTCTACAAAACACACCATCCACACTCCTTACTCGACACTGTACAAGGTCTACACAACACACCATCCACACTCCATACTCCACACTGTACAACGTCTACACAACACACCATCCACACTCCATACTCCACACTGTACAACGTCTACAAAACCCACCATCCACACTCCTTACTCCACACTGTACAACGTCTACACAACACACCATCCACTTTCCATACTACACACTGTACAGCGTCTACACTACAAACCATCCACACTCCTTACTCCACACTGTACAACGTCTTTACAACACACCATCCACACTCCTTACTCCACACTGTACAACGTCTACACAACACACCATCCACACTCCATACTCCACACTGTACAACGTCTACACAACACACCATCCACACTCCATACTACACACTGTACAGCGTCTACACTACAAACCATCCACACTGTACAACGTCTACACAACACACCATCCACACTCCATACTTCACACTGTACAGCGTCTACACTATACACACCATCCACACTGTACAGCGTCCACACTACACACCATCCACATTCCTTACTCCACACTGTACAGCGTCTACACAAAACACCATCCACACTCTTTACTCCACACTGTACAGCGTCTACACAACACACCAGCCACACTCCTTACTCCACACTGTACAGCGTCTACACAATACACTATCCACACTTCATACTCCACACTGTACAGCGTCTACACTACACATTATCCACACTGTACAGCGTCTACACTACACACCATCAACACTCCATACACCGTCTACACTACACACCATCCACAGTGTACAACGTGTACAAAACACTCCATACACAACACTGTACAACGTCTACACTACACACCATCCACACTGTACAGCAACTACACATCACCCGATCCACACCATCCACACCTACACTCCACACCATCCACACTCAGCACCGACACGAGACATCATCCACTCAACGCCATCCACACTCAAAACCTCCTCTACACATCATCCACTCTACACCATCCACCTACAACCCACATCACCCCCTCCACAACTCATTTAAGTACAGTACAGAAAGATTCTCGTACTTTTTTTGGCCGAGTCCCACCCGGGATTCGACACTGCCACACCTAATCGCCTGCACACAAAGTCAGCGATCTAACCCATTCAGCCACCGGCTCCTACGATAATGAAAGTCGGACAACTGGTAGTCTAGATCACGTACTTTGTACGAGATTCTGTACTTTACTGAGAAATTGTTATCCCGAATATAACATTTGTTACATTTAGCCACTTTCTAAATGGCGTTGTGTGTTCATGCCATAAATGCAGGTTTTTTTTATAAAAGATGGTACAATAACAAATTACTTTTAGTACAAGTAGATGTCATCCGTTGGAATTTGGGTTGGCCTTCCCTCTTACAAGTGCAACTGTTCGCTTTTCTCACAAATTAATGCTCAATATTGAGTACGCCAACGACAGTCAAAGGTCAAACAGATTGTCCCCTAAAACAACATCTTCAATGAGAAGGTATTTCTCAGGATGTATGCTCGGTCGAGGCAGCCAATCAGGTATACATCTACCTGACAGGGCGGCTTGGGTGTTCACTGCAACAAAGGTTAACTGACCCAGTTTATTCGATGAAGGTATGTCATGGAAGAGAAATAATTGTCACAAACCATTCGGAACCTTACCGAGACTGTCAAAAGCTTGCATAAGACTATAAAGGTGTGGATTTAAAACGTACGTACAATGTAATAATGATTTGAGAGTCTTCTATATGATTCGGTGTCTAGTGTTTTGCAATTCTAATAGATTGAGATACAAAATCCAAAATTGAAATTTCACCTTCACCATTTGTATTGTTGTCTGTGTAACTATTTTAGTGAACATATTCCTCGGGTTTCCAGCGAGGCCGCAATTCCTGCATTCGTGAAATATTTTTATGTCAGTTACAACACCCCCAGGGGTATTTTACATGGTTCAACAAGTCAAGTTCGTCAATATTACGTTTATCGGATTAAATGCTCTTGATAAATAATCTTGTAGTGCTGGTAGATAAATGTCAATTACACAATGATTTTGAGTGGTCTTGGCGAAACTGGATTTAAGGATTTGCGATAATAAGCTGGGACGGGTACTCGGGTCGGGAGGGTACTGAGTAGGACCCGGGTACCCACAGGACTACCCGGACCCGTGGTTTGTAACGTGATATATTGTTTAATGACAAAAAGTATCTAAAACTCTATGTTTAAACTACAAGTCACTAATGTTCGCAGTTCTTCCTGACAACTACGCCCATTCCTTCTGACTTTTAAATGTTTGAATAAAATTAAAACTTCAGTCAACTTCAGTGTATACACAAGGCCGTTTCATAAATGTATCAAAACACATTTTACCAGAGCTACGGTCAAACTTTTCCCAGTCGGACAGTTTGTACCTACCTCTTGAGACCTACAGCGGGTACCCGGGTAGGGTCGGGTAATAGGGGATGGGTACCCGGGTAGTAAATTTGGACTCCTCCCAGCCCTTGTCACCCAAGATCTTATTACTTCGTTTGTCAGTCTACCTATTAATCTCCCAGTGTATGAAGGGAAGTACAAAATCCCATGTATGCATTCAT